AAATATTTGTTTTAATATTTGTAAAGAGTTTTGCACACACACACACACACACACACACACACACACACACACACACACACACACACACACACACACACACACACACACACACACACGCGCACACACACACACACACACACATGTATACATTTGTACTGATGTAATAGCAATAGATGAAACTGAATTAACTGATTTGATCACAAAATGCAATATTCCGTAGAAAATACTAGATAGCAAAAAAGATATAAAGAAAGAAGAGAAGGGGAGAAGTAGTGGCACTGCTGATTAAACGAGACAATAGATTTGAAGAGACATCAATTTAGAGGAAAATCCCAGTAATGTAGACTAAGTTGCAGGAATAATTTCTGTGGAAGGAAAAATAGTGATTGTTGCTGTAATTTACAATCCCCAGAGAATCATATAAGACCAGAATGAGAATACAAGAATGCAAACAGAGGTTGTATAAATATCAAACAAAATGTGGCGGAAGTATCATGCAGATTGAGAGCAAAGCTATTTTAAATGGGAGACTTCAATCACGGGCAAATTGACTGGGAATCAATGAATGCAAGAGGGAGGGGGGGGATCAGATACATGGAGATCAAACATAGTAGAAGTTGCAGCAAGAAACTTCCTAACACAGAATGTCAAGGAGAAAACACGAAGAGGGTGAGACCAACCAGCAAAATTTTCATAAAGAGTGAAACGGTCATTGAAAACATTGATCATGAAATCCCAATGGGGCAGGTGACCATTGTGTATTAGTCTTCGATTTTGTAGTTGTTATAAAAGATATGGGAAGAGGAAGAGACAAATGCAGTGGGAACTAGCTTTCCATAAAGGTGAGTTCCAGGTCAGAGAATTCTTAAAGAGAGAATACCATTAGAAATAGAACTAATAGAAAAGCAACACAAGACATAGTGGACTTTATAACTGGTCAGTGCAAAGAAGCTGAACAAGATTTATACCATCCCTAAGGAATAAAGAAGCCAAGGTAAAAAAAAATACCAACGTTTAACAGACAGGCAAAGAGGAGAAATAAAGGAACGTGTAAGAAATACAGGGAGCACAGAACAGAATATACCCATAACATATATGCAAGAGAGAAGAATGAATACACAGGAATTCGGAGAGTAACAGTATGAGAACGACATAGCATCCAAGGCCAAGGATCAGCCTACACTACTATACAGCCACATGAGGAAGATGTCGGCAAATGAACAGGTGATCAGGGTACACAAAAAGGAGGCCACATAAGGAATAAGGAAGTGCAGGCGATAAGTCACAATAACGTGGCTGAAGAATGTTGACCAGATCACATACTAGAAGCTGAAGGGACGACGACGTTTCGGTCCGTCCTGGACCATTCTCAAGTCGATTTGAGAATTTGAGGTCGACTTGAGAATGGTCCTGGACGGACCGAAACGTCGTCGTCCCTTCACCTTCTAGTGTGTGGTCTGGTCAACAATAAGAAAGTGCGTTTTTAAATATTGAAGATTGGGAAGAGTACTAAAGTTGGTTAAGGAGTGCCTTTCTGGTAGAAAGCACAGGGTCAAAGTAAGAGCTATCAGAACTGACATAGGTAACGAGTGGAATACCTCTAGGGTCGGTACTAGGGCCCATCCTGTTCCTATGTAAACGATCTAACAGAGCAAGTAAGCTTATTTTTATCCATGTTTGTTGATGATGCTTAACTAATGAGGCGAATCAGAATTGAGGACGACTGCATTACATTACAAGAAGAACTAAACTATCTCCAGAGGTGGTCTGAGAAATGGTTATTAGTCTTTAACTCTGACAAATGCAAGGTTATTAGGATAGGAAGTGGAACAACTTAAATACAGTGCAATTGCACTTAAATACAGTGCAGTATGAGGGGAAGGTAGCTTCTAATGTCTGAAACTGAGAAAAACTTCAGAGTAGATATAATTAAAGATCTAACACTAGACGCACACGTCCAGACAATAATGTCAGCTGTATATGCCATACGTCCGGTTATCCTCCAGGAATATAGAGGAAGATCACTTCAGAGTGTTGTATACATGCATGTGAACGGTGCCTGGTATCATCCTGTTATCCTACTGAGTATTAATGTCTAATGTGGTTTAAGTAAATCGGTTTCCTATTGACTTTAAACCTGAGTGTGTCTTCATCTGTTGTTGCTTGAGTGTCTGGTAAACGGAATCTTCACTTTCTATCTTTAAAGGGAACTTCATAGTAGATTCAGTTTCATTTTGTTCCTATAATTACTAAGATCGAAACGGTTTGATGATCAATACATTTACGTTTGATCATCAATACTTGATGATACCGGGTATTGATCTTACTTCTAGTGATTTCGTGAATGAATTAGCAAGATGAGCACCAATTAGAGACCCTATTGCCATGCAAAATTTATGAGAGACCTAGGAGCAGGATAAGTAACTTTAGTGTATACATAGACAGCTCTGATCGATGAAATCGTTTCAGGGTAGAAAGTAGATTGGTAGGTGCAGATAAAAGGTAAGAGAAAGGTAGATTTTACTGTTCTTTGTCTTTATGTCCATGATAACTCCGAAATTTGTATTCGTGGCCAGGGCCTCCAAAGCTGTATAATGTTATCTTTCGTGAGAGTATGTATGGTATTTGATCCACGCAAGTAACGAGGTCAACTATCATGTTGAGGGCCATATCGGAGACGCTGCTAGTTAGGTTACGTGTCACAGAGGAAAGTTTAGTCTTGCTGCCTCCCCCCCCTTACTAAATTGATAGTTGATAGAAATTGATGTAAATTGATAGAATAAATAATTTTAATTTGTATCATATTCCCTCACCTTCCAAACCTCATTCTACCTTCTCCCTCAACATTCTACTCCCGCCCTTATTAAAAATGTGAATGTATTATAGCGGTGTGTTCAATTGCTCTTAAAGCGACTTCATATTCGAAAAGTCATCAACATTTAAAGTCTACTCACATTTTAGAGTTTCTTTGCCTCGTTTTCACCATCATTTGGGAAACTCTGAAAGCCCCGAAACTAATGAAAGGTCAAGTGGTATGATTGCATAATGGGTTGTGACCAAAGTTGGTAAATGGTACAAGATGAAGACGGAGTAGTCGGAGATACAGTATGTGTGGAACCCTTGTTTACAAAGGTGAAGAGATGAAGTTCTGGATAATTTTCTTAGAGAATTTATATTTTTCTCTGAAACGAGTGGAAGATTACTGTCTCGATTCCATCGTATTGCTCCATTGATTTTATTAATGATATATCATGTTAGTGTGATTTATTTGTGTGTTACTGTTGATGTTTAGCTGCTGCATTACCCTATAATAACTAGGAATATATATATATATATATATATATATATATATATATATATATATATATATATATATATATATATATATATATATATATATATATATATATATCAAAAGGAAGGAAAGCCAAAAAAAAAATAAAAGGAAGGGGGTGGTAGAAGAAAATCACACAGAAAATATATTGGAGGGGACCTACATTCCCTCTAATGCGTTATGTGTGGTTTCCTCCGAGGCTATGGGTCCCCCTTCTTCCAGCCAGAGGTGGTACTCCCTATATATATATATATATATATATATATATATATATATATATATATATATATATATATATATATATATATATATATATATATATATGGGGTGTAACAGTGTGTAAGGCAGCAGAAGGAGGGGTACCAATAGAGTCATTGCCACTCTAATTGACTTCACATCTTGGTTGATTGGGCTAATAGGCTATCAACTTCTTGAGTGCTATCGATATCAGGCTTACTAACAAACCAGCAAGTATGCTTCGGCTATGAAAATAGTTCGAAACTGATGTAAACTCGGCATGTTTATATATTGAGAAATTGGGTTTATGTTTCTGTATCTATCCGTTTCCTGCCTCTTTTCCAACAACATTTTTCGATCACCCCATGAAAATGGATTTCGCTTTACGGTTGTCATCATTTCATAAAATTCTTTGAGCGTAAATAAATTAGGAAACAGCATGAAAAAAATATTATTCATAATATTATTATTATTCACAATAGAATAGAACAGAAAGAACATAATTTTAGGCTTCATTCCAGTTATGTTCAGCCTAGGCACCTTATGTGGTTCATATCCTTTACTCGTGTTTACTTAACTTGTGGCTGTTTTGTGTAAGACAGTGATGAGTACGGGTTGTTCGCACTGTTTATTACGGGAGAGGAGAGGCATGTCAATCCGGATTCGCTGCACAGTATTCATTCCACTTGTCGTATTAGTGGTATGTGAAGGGAGGGGAATAATGGCATAGCCTTCGTGATCAATATCTCCTTGAGAGCCCCTCTTAACACAGATGTGAGGTAGTGCATCTTGAGACTAATTGTCAATTTCTAAATCAATGTTATTAAGTAGATATATCTAGCATTTTTAGACGTTGCTCATATGAACATGGATGAGGTCTTTTGGCCTTGTAAACCCTGGAAGAGTTATTTTGTTTACCTCAATAACTTGTTGATCAAACAGTAAGTATACTTTAGTGTTCGTTCACTGTTCGCCGATGAAGTATGCTTGTAGTGTATACACAGTGAGACACGAGGTATTTACCTAGTATAATACTGTTAGGCGAAAACAATGAAAATTCCGAAATTAAAATATTGAGTTATAAGAGACAATATTTATATGCAAATATTTATTTTTCCTTTGTAAAGCATCTTAAGTTAAATCAGAACTTTTATTTTTATTGAACTATTTACATTTATTTTTATTGAAATATTTACGTTTATTTTTATCTAAATATTAACATTTATTTGTATTTAAATATTTACTTTTATTTTTATATAAATATTTACATTTCTTATATAAATATTTACATTTATTTTTATATAAGTATTTACATTTCTTATATAAATTGTTACATTTATTTGTATTTAAATAAGTTTACATCAGCGAAAACTGCAGCTTACCAACAATCATCTTTCTCAATCTTACTCACTGAGTCCATAGTACTCACCTCTAGGTGGGGCGGCGTGGGCCTCTCCGCAGCTAGGAGCCAGTAGAGCCAGAATGATTGAAATTCCCAGCACACCCCGAGCCAGCGTAGCACGACACATTGCTCCTGGCAGCCACTGGCACCCACCTAGATGGCACCCACCTCGATGGCACCCTTCTCTACTCGTGTCTTAATGTACTCTCACTCCACACTGTGTGTTTTCCTGTGCACTTAGAATATATATATTTTTTTTTTCCTCACTGATGTTCAAATGGTTGTCTCTCGAGGTCTGTTTTGTTGTTTTTCTTATTGTTGGTAATTCACTCACAAAGTATCTTCATTCATTTATTAAAGGAAGTTCTGTTTATTCATCAAATAATTCATTTTTCTCATCCTACTTGTGACGTGGTGTTATTATGTCTCGTAAACTGTCAAGAAACATGTCTTTGGTCGTGAGAATATTTCGGTAATTTAGTCTATGGAAGATATACTGTTTTTATATTTGTTGTATATTGCTTTAACGTTGATTGAATTCTTGTTCACTATAAACCGTGATTTAAATATTTTCTTGTTGCGTTTCTTTTTTCCAGTATGATAAATTCCTTTTATTTTTTTCTAATATATACATAACTAATTTAACTGTTAAAATTAACTGTTAGGGATATTTGTTTATGATTAACATTCAAAAGGATATGAGTCCAATACACGTTTACTAGTATGGTATGTTTTCTGGGAAAGAATCTTCATTATATCTATATTATATATAAATATATATATATATATATATATGTACACATGTGCACAAAGTAATGAAGTAGACAAGTCTTCGAGTATATAATCTTACGTTTGAAAATTCTACTATACGCTGTCTATAGCACCTGCTTACAGAATAATGCACTTAGTTAGAAATAAAATATTATATAGCTTTGCAAGTCTTGTCAATACATAAAATATAACTATCACGCTTGCTCCTGGTTCATGTTGAGCTCGTAACAGATAACATTGATCCTCATGGATTGTTCAAACAACAATCATCTGTCCTTGAAAATAAGTACATTACACTTTTTGATTGTCATTACATGCCTGAAGTGTTTCCAGCCACTCGTAAAGATTTTCTGTGTCCTATTTTCGGTTAATATTGATCTTTTTCAGGCGCGTAATGATTGCAAAGTCAAGGTCAACATTACGATGGGTCGTGTGTGATCGCAAGCCGTCGGTTTATTAGCGAAGTTACACGGAAATATTTGGGTCGTGGTAGGAGATCCATTCACCTGAGCAACTTGTGTTCTTACTGCGATTTTCCATCATGATAAGACTCTTCTCCGTCGCTGATTATAATCCATTTTATTAGCAACTTTATTTCGTAAGGCATAGTCCTGGGATATAGTTGTAACAAATCTACACACACAAACAGCAGTTTAAGATAACATGAAAATACAACATATCGCTGGTATGGTGATAACGTTTAGTAAGGAAGTCTGGCATGACTTGTCACTGTGAGTAAAAAGCACACACAGCGGTCCAGTCGTGGATGACGGTGAGGTCATCCAACTCCAGGTACCAGACCCTGGAAGCCAGCTCGTGTCTGAGTTGGGAGTGACTCCGTCGGTGGTGGTGTCGCGAGCACCGCCAGCACTGCACTGACTCGACCCGTCGACTGGTGTGGTCTCTCTGCTACTCGTGCCGCCAGGCTCCACACTGCGCATGCGCCCTACCAGCCTGACTCGACGGTACACTGTGGTACGGCTAATGACCCATTGGAAGCTATCAGGGTGCCGGATTTGTACTATCAACGACACTGCGGTGTTCGCAGTATCAGAGAAATCAAATCATTGGATCTAACGGTTTCACTGATGGCAAAGGAAAATTTTACTGAATGTGATTTTTGTCTTGAGTCTTGGTATTAGTTGTACAAAGCTGCATGACAATTATCCTAATACCCACGGTACTCTGCTGTGAAAATTAATCCTGGAATACCATGGGATATTTTTTTCTCTCTACCCAGTCTGACCTCGTAAACATTAGCTAAGTGCTCGTTAATCCAGCGACAACCAACGCGTCCTCACGTTACGTTCGTTTAACCTCCTACCAACCACACAGACACATCCATTAATTTGACTCTATTGTGTATTCGAAATCGGGATTTTTTCAGATAAAAATTTATTTTATTATAAATGAGAATTTGATCTATAGTTAGGTCTATATTTGGTTAAATTAAGTTAGGCGTTCAGGTTCTGTTGGGATTATTTGTATTTGTAGAATGTCGCGTGAAGCATTTGCTGCAACCTGTTCTCAGGCCAGGCTCGTTAAAGCGGCGGCCGCTCACCGAGACGCATTCACAAACTTTACCGTATTGTGTTTATCTTTGTTCTCATTTATACATGAATATTATTTTATATTAAAGCTTTGTGTATAGTTAAGTGTAGGTTAGATTAGGTTTGGTGTTTAGGTTCTGTTGGCGATTATTTGTATTTGAAGCCCGTGGGTGAAGCATTTACAACGTTCCGATTCGAACAGAGGTCGTCAGCGAAGCACTGTTCGAACGTCATCAGTTGCGAGTCGTGTGTAAAGTGCTTTTCATTCATAAACAACTGCATAAACGCCATAAACAACTGTATAAACGCCATAAACAACTGCATAAACGCCATAAACAACTGCATAAACGCCATAAACAACTGCATAAACGCCTTAAACAACTGCATAAACGCCATAAACAACTGCATAAACGCCATAAACAACTGTATAAACGCCATAATCAACTGTATAAACGCCATAATCAACTGTATAAACGCCATAATAAACTGTATAAACGCCATAAACAACTGCATAAACGTCATAAACAACTGTATAAACGCCATAAACAACTGTATAAACGCCTTAAACAACTGCATAAACGCCTTAAACAACTGCATAAACGCCATAAACAACTGTATAAACGCCATAAACAACTGTATAAACGCCTTAAACAACTGTATAAACGCCATAAACAACTGTATAAACGCCTTAAACAACTGTATAAACGCCATAAACAACTGCATAAACGCCATAAACAACTGCATAAACGAAATAAACAACTGCATACACGTCATAAACAACTGCATAAACGCCATAAACAACTGCATAAACGCCTTAAACAACTGCATAAACGCCATAAACAACTGTATAAACGCCATAAACAACTGTATAAACGCCTTAAACAACTGTATAAACGCCATAAACAACTGCATAAACGCCATAAACAACTGCATAAACAACTGTATAAACGGGCATTTGGTTATTGTTCATGAGGACGGACTGCTGCAACTATGTTCAAATTCCTCTTGAATAGTGCTTTACTCTCTTACGTTCCTCTAATAGCACCGCTCTAAATGCTTCACCTACGTTCTTCAAAAACAAATTTTTGCCAACAGAACCTAAACACCTAACCTAACCTCAGCCTAACCTAACCTAACCTAACCTAACCTAACCTAACCTAACCTAACCTAACCTCAGCCTAACTATACACAACATTATTATATAATATACATTGATAATAATTTCCTGTCGAAAAATACCGTTATTGGTCACACAGTACGTTCAATGTGCTTAATGGGTCGTTGTGGTCGACCACAGCTTGGACGAGCATGGTCTGAGGACGGGTCGAGGGACGACCCCAGCTTGGACGAGCATGGTCTGAGGACGGGTCGAGGGACGACCCCAGCGTGGACAGGTTAATTGCTTTTAGTTACGATCCGCTCAATTAATAAGGAAGGAAGGAAGGAAGGAATTATCGGGGGAAAGCGCCAAGCCATTACGACTATATAGCACTGGGAAGGGATCCGGATAAGGATGTGGGATGGACACGGGATGTGGGATTAGTAGGAGGATGGGATTCCTCCTACTAATCTACTTTTGCATTAGCAACAGCTATAAAAAATTTCCGGTGAGCGTAATTTTTTCCCCCTCTTTCGTGACGAGAACTTTGTACCTCCAAAGGATTCCTTAAACTGTTGATGACTGAACCTAAACATAATCCTATTCTCTAACTCGATCACGGAGGATCCTAACTTATTATGAACTCCACATTAACTAATTCTCCATTAACGTTGAGCTGTTTATAACCTTATGCCACTACAGGCATTTTTCGTCCTTGTCTCTTTGTAAATGCATTATTTTGTCTCTTTGTAAATGCATTATTTTGTCTCTTTGTAAATGCATTATTTTGTCTCTTTGTAAATGCATTATTTTGTCTCTTTGTAAATGCATTATTTTGTCTCTTTGTAAATGCATTATTTTGTCTCTTTGTAAATGCATTATTTTGTCTCTTTGTAAATGCATATTTCTGAAACAAATAAATGATACACAACTAGTCCTCACACAGACCCAGCCAATTCTCTCGCCACAGCGTACAAAACTGAACGTACTAACATACCCAGAAACGTGCGCACCCAAGCCACCCACCTGGCCTAACCAACCGTTGGATAGAAAACGTGGATTTTCGTGAACCGCTACTTTTTCATAGTACGTTGATTATCATAACCTACCATTGCGTCGTATTAGTTAAGGTGACGGGTTGACTGACCACAACGTCAAAATTGTGCTGCGTTAGTGAGTTTAAATGCATTATTGACGCCTTATCGGACTAGTGGTCATAAGAGCACAAGATAACACACATTATGTAGGATAGACATTAGAATCCACCCTCAGGATAGAATCCACCCTCAGGATAGAATCCACCCACAGACATATTCATGAATGTGGGTAGATTCTGCCTCGTATGGGCCAATAGCAGCTGCCTCGCATGGACCAATAGGAGCTGCCTGGTTTGGTCTAATAGAAGCTGCGTTGTGGACCAATAGGAGCTGCCTTGTATGGACCAATAAGAGCTGCCTCGTATGGACCAATAGAGGCTGCCTCGTATGGACCAATAGAAGCTGCCTCGTATGGACCAATAGGAGCTACCTCGTTTGGACCAATAGGAGCTGCCTCGTTTGGTCCAATAGAAGCTGCGTTGTGGACCAATAGGCGCTGCCTTGTATGGACCAATAAGAGCTGCCTCGTATGGACCAATAGTAGCTGCCTCGTATGGACCAATAGGAGCTGTCTCGTATGGACCAATAGGAGCTGCTTCGTATGGACCAATAGGAGCTGTCTCGTATGGACCAATAAGAGCTGCCTCATATGGGCTAATAGGCGCTCTGCAGTTTCCGTCATTCTTACATTCTTATGTATTTATATGATCCCGATTCTTACTGGGAGTCTCTATTGCTAGTCCTTTTCAAAGCAAATTAAATCAAAAGTCCTGTTCAGAACCTGTCGTTGTGATAGGTAATCAGAATCTAATTTATGCGGGGCTCGAACAAACAGAATTGTGTTTCATGGTCTGCATTGGCATTTATATTAAAAAAATGACATGAAAACTAAATTGAAGATCAAATTGCTGCATCCTGTATTTTGTATTTCATGATGTTATTCTTGAATTTTAATTATCTGATGCGCAAAAAATTATCGGTATCATGCGAGTATCTGAATCATTAACATCATTTGATGTATATTCAAAATTAAGGCAGAGAATATTTTTTCTCTGAAATCATTTTTATGTAATTCGTGTTAAGTTTTACGTTGTCGGCCTAATGACCTCTGTCTCGTTATGTCTCGCCTGTGAGGGTCAAACTGTATGATTTATACATCGTCCATTGTAAATAATTAGCTGCAGAGATAATATTCGTACAGATAGTGACCGTGTTGATCAGACCACACACTAGAAGGTGAAGGGACGACGACGTTTCGGTCCGTCCTGGACCATTCTCAAGTCGATTGTGATCGGGGTTGGATTAGAGTTTGTTGAACTATACAGAGTTGGATTATAGTAATGGGGTGACCGGTGTATCACCTCATTACTATAATCCAACTCTGTATAGCATCATGATCATTCTGGTACAGGTCAATATTGGCATCATATAACAAACACAGTTAGACTGCAACGTCGTTTGATCCCTCCGAGATCAAGGTTTTATATATCAATATTTAGACTTTTAAATTACTTTTGAATCTACAATTCCCTTCGGTATTCCCACACTTGCTTACGATCCTGACCGTTCTAATGCTTCCTTATATCTGCCGCTCATTTTGGTTTACAAATGGTATAAACTCTTTTCTAATGTTTACCATAATGTTATGTTAACTTGGATCACCTTGTCGGGAAGTTAAGGCTCATATGGATTCTGTGTATTCAAGTTATGTGAAGATCAGTTGTCTCAGTCTGTTCTAAAGCTTCAACCATCCCAATTCAGTAACTAGATTTGTTGTTAAGTTTAGGCATATTGTATTATTTATTGTATTCTTGTGCTACCTTATTGTATTCTTCAGTGTGTGTCTGCAGAATCAAGCTGCAACTCTTGAACTCCATCGTTGTAATACAGTGACTCCTGACCTAATTTTTGGTATCATATCCACTTTGGAAATTATGAACCGCGCTGGCTTCCCCAATCTAATCGCTCGGTGAATTGAATTTTCATACCACGCTGAGAAAGATCTCTCTATATGGCTCATCTCTGTCTGAGTCCTACTACCCATGCTCTCTAGTTCTACTGGTATTCATTAAGAATATTTCCTCTTTTACCGCCCTGTCAATTTCATTAAGTGAG